CTAGAGTGGAAATGCTGTGGGCCTGGTTCGAACAACATCCGCATCGCACCGTCAAGACGCTTTTTGAGCTCTCTGCGGCAGGCTTATCGAATGTCGATCTTGAGAATGATCCTCAAGGCGTTTGGGGAGAAACGTCTGACCGAATTCGCAAGATCGCGTCCGAACTTCAACGCTTGCATGCGTAGGCTGTGATTGACAGGTCATTATTGACGGGTCGTGATTGACAAGCCATTGGATAACATGACGGGGGCCCTTTGGTCATCCTCGCCCCTCGCTCCGCTCTACTCCATAGTAAAAATCAAATTATTCGGTGCCGTAAATGCCAGTGTGACAAATAGTTGGAGTGTAATTCAACTGGATACTATCTGCTAATTTTGCTAATCTAAGATAGAGTCTAAGAGTATCTATCACTAGTAGTTTTCAGCGTCACCTTATCGTGGGCCTACGTCTAAAGCTTAAAAGATCTATATTTAGCCATTAATAGCGTACTATTATCGTCTGTAGAATATTTGCGTGAAAGTATAGCCACTTCTTTATTATTATAGGCCTGTGAGAGGAAAAATCCGCTCTAGCTTAGAGTTTATAGTAGGATAGAGGTACATAGACACGCCTACGAAGTAGCCTGTAAACTTGAGGAGAAGACTCATCGTTAAAGGATTAAAGGGTTAGAAAAGGCTATAGATAGATATAGCAATAAGGCACTTCACGTTGAAGGCAGCTTTTGGCCGCACACAGAAATTAACAATTGAGGTTGTATTGGAAAGGTGCGTGTGCGGGTAAAGGCTCGCTTCTTGAAGGAGGGCGCCGGGGCTCGCTGTCTGCATTCACCTATAGATTATGTATGCACGTGATCTATAAGTAATGGCGAGAGTACTATACTAAGTGCTCTGCTAAGAGAGCAGAGAATATTTCGTAGTAGGGTAGCAGGGGGGCTCACCTATCATATTTTCCTACCGACTTCTGTCCTGTCCTAACATATATAACCAAAGAAGTTTAATAGTAGCGATCTCTATGAATTAATGCCCGATTTTATAGTTTGCCAGCCCTTATTACTATACTATTACCTCATCACGTAAGGCGCGTTAATTTTCCAATCTAGTTAGATTCTATAGATTTGCTTTGTAAATAAGGGTAACTAAGTAGAATGGGTCCTTTTGCCTGGAGGATTGCGCCTATAAATAACTTAGATAGAAGCTTGCTATAAGTACTAGCTTATGTAGGTCTACAACTTAATAATAATTATGTATCACGTAGGAGAGCTTGGACTCTAACTCTCTAACGATTAATCTACTAAATATATTCTTTCTATATCCTTTCTCAACTCCTATATCGTAATTCTATCGCCAATTTACACGACTATTCGCCTTAAGTCCTTTTAGGGCCGTGACAAGGTATATCTTGTCACGCTGAAGCATGGGGAAGGGGATGTGCGTAGTACGTAGTAAGGGTTGGATCCAAGTATATAGGATCTGACCCTGATCTAACTTAGTAATAGGCTTCTAAACTCACTTCAGGAAACGAGTGGTAACCGCGCCGAGCTTTTGCAGTAATCGCTTCAGCTGTGCATAGAAGCACGCAACGTTGTACTTCATCTACGGGGCCATGCGTACGCGGACCGACCTGGTGAGGCGGCTCGTAGGAGACCGAAGTGAGAAACATTTATCGCTTGAGTATAAGCTACGTAACTATTAGACGGCATTTTATTTGGACCCGTGCTGCAAATAGGTACATAGTTCAATTTTCGACGTGACTCCATTCTAAAATTGGAACTTGGGTTATCCCCCGTTTATTTTGTCATCGAGATCATGGAAGATAATTCTAGAGCTTATGATTGACCTTGGTTTAACTTCGATGATTATAGCTTGGTTGAGTTAACATTCTAGACCTTTGGCGATATCTTGATCTTTTTTTGTGGTGCTGAAGGACATTTCTTCTAGTCTAAGTGGCAAGTCTCTTGTAACTACGTTACCGTTTTGAGAAGAAAATTTCCTGGGCTCGTTGTGCGTAGGGCGAGGCGAAAGTGATAGTGACGATTGTTGTGTTTAATATGAACGTAGCTGCTGGTATAGCTGTGGGTATGGTCTATGTTTTGACTGTAGATTTGAGGGCCCGCTCGATTGAAAAGCGACCGGAATTTGAGACCCGGTTTGCTGGGTGGGCTGGAAACCTGGACAGAATTGATAGTACATGTGCTCGCTAGATCTAGTAGGGTATGCTGTACTCTTATCATGGCGAGTGTTTTGATATATAAGGTGCTCTTTGGCTCTCAATTCTTCCAATTCTCGGGCCCTTGATGCAAGGGAATACGGTTCGGGATGTTGGGTGTACATGTTTTGTGGAGCTTCCATGTAAACTGGGCATTGAGCTATCCTAAGGTTGCTAAGGCGAGGCTGTCACTGCAAGGCCATGCAGTGTAAGAGTGAAGGACGCATAGGGGCGACCCCTCTTGACGCAACACTGCCTACTCTCTGCAGTTTAGCCGTTTACTCCAGAAACAGACCCGCTGATTGGAATCAAACGGATGCAAAAACAAAAAAGGGGGGGGGGAAGATAATCCATTGAGCTCATACATTATTAATGGGTATTCAACAGTGCTTAAAGAAACGAGTGGAGGTGCCAACCCAACCAACCACATCCTCAACCCACATCGACAACTAACGCAATATACCCAGCAACGCCTCCGAACAAGGGGCCTCCCAGCATCACTACCGCTATTAGTATAGTAGCCAACCGAATCACCCGAGATCAGAGCAGCAGAGAGAACCGATACAAGGAAGCTCCTACGGCAGACGGTAAGCTCCCGCCTCCGCCGCCACCTAACGCCAAGCCCAATGCCAAATTTACAATCTTCCTGTCCCCTCCGAGTTGGACACATTTAAGCGGTAGTTCTTACGACTGCTTTACCACCTTAGATGATGGTGGAGACGGCAGCTGCAGCTCCGTACCAAAGACGCGGTCCCAGAGGCGGCTTGTGACACCGAAACCGTTCTGGAAGTCGGCGAAGTGGTGCTGTAGGTGGTACTTTTTGAGCTGGCGGTAGTAGTACGGCAGGCTGGAAAAACACTATCAGTATTTATACAAGCCGGACTTGGGGGACAAACTTACTTCCGGTGGTGCAAGAAGTAGTGCGTCATGTCGTAGCAAATGTAGCCGAAGATACCGCCGCAATACACGGCCGTGGCCGCGTACCAGTTATAGTAAAAGACTGCGTGCGCCAATTTCCAGAACGGAGTGGCCAGAACCAAGAACAGCGTTGGCGGCATGACAAGGCGATACTTGTCCATGGGAAGGTAATGGTGAACGCCATGCAATAGGAAGTGCAGCGTGATGCCCACCCGGTTGTCTGGGAGATAGTAGTCAATGTGGAACAGGAACCGGTGCAATCCGTACTCCACCAACGTCCAGATGAACAACCCGGACAGCCAATACGCGACCAAGTGGAACGCGCTGGGCAGCCCCTGTCCCGCCAGCCAGGTGCCGTACGCAACCGGCGGCAGCCACACCGTGGGTACGACCCACCACGGCGTCAAGCTGAGAGGCTCGAGGAAGTTTCCAAACAACGGTGCAGAATCCCCGCCCCTGTAGTGTCGAGGCCGGTGCACCTGTTCTAGGTAGAAGTCCTTGCTGAACCCGCCGTTCCACACCTGCATGAGCAGCGGCTTGTCTAGGTCGAGAAACTTGTGCTTATTGTAGTCTGAGGCCGCGTCCGTCGGACGCGACAAGTCGTCCTCGGACGACATGCCCGTCGCCGCATAGACGGGTTCCTCTGCCGCTCCCCGCACATCCGGCGCCACGCCGTTCGCCTTTAGCTCTTGTGCCCCTTTCGCTGAAGGTGGCAGCGGAACCACGCCGTCCGGTCGCTCGCTCTTGGTGGCCGTGTCAAGCACGCGCTGCGTCGCGAGGAAACCGACGAGGCATTCGTCAAGGATCTCGTACGCGGCCTCGGTGTGCGTGTGCGAGAGCTCGTCTTGCATGATGTCCGTCACGTCCTTGCCCGCATGCTCGAGGATCAGGTCGGCGCCGCCCGGGTGGTCGGAAAGGAACGAGGTCACATCGTAAACTTTGGTGCCAACCGTTACGTAGCAGGAGCGTTTATTGTCGTGCGCGGCTATTTCGACGGCGGGAATGGTCGGAAGCGTGCGGCCCGGCATACTTGCGGTACGGTAGGTAAGGTGGAAGGTTGATTGACGAGAGATTCCAAAAAGCGCGTACGGCTAGCTCTAGAGCAAAGACCGAGGTGGTGAATGAAGGATTGATATCGGTTAAGTTTTGTAGGTAGCGCACGCAAATAAGGCCGAAAGGGGGCTTTAGAGAATAGGAGGGCGAGCGTTTGAGGGGAACTTAGAGCAGGCACCTAAATTAATGAAGGAGTGACGGAGACAAAGCAATTGTAAAAGCAAAAGAGGACCAGGGAGGGAGTGACAAGGCGAAAAAAGCGTCCCTAACAACTGTAGCAGAGATCCCGAATGCAGAATTGTCCTTCTCTCCTTATAGCAATCACCGCAATCTCCAAGTTGGCAGGTTTCTGCGCGTAGAAATGTCTCGCGACCAGCAAGGCGGTCGCGGCGCGGGGAGCGGAAGCGACATTGGTCCGAACATCTGATTAATCGCCTGACCCAGCCCACGGCACCACCCGGCTTCCGCTGCTCTCCGGGCTGGATATGTAACATCGTCGTAAAGAAAACCTCGCAGCAAAAACTCTTGAGACAGTATGTCAAGTATATGGCTTAGCCTCAAAGGCCTACAAAGCATGCTTATGTGCGTAAATGGACCTGCTACTCCATAGGACGTACAACACGATGCATAGGGGCCAAGGGCCCATTCAAAATAAAGGAAGTAGTCTAGAATACGATTGGTCAAAATGCTGATATCCGCTAACGGATGCTTCAAAAAGCAAGTGCTCGAAGAAATATGGCGCTAGAAATTTAGACTCTATATACTACATAGTCCAAAATTAAGCATTGCTACTCTCAACACTGGGAGTTTTGTCTTTCGTAGTTGGCCGAGTGGCGCAATGGTAGCGCGCCAGATTTCGGCTCTGGAGGATGTGGGTTCGAGTCCCATCTCGGTCGCTCTTTTGAACTTTTAGTTCTGGGGCACGTTGTTAAAGGGTTTTATCCTCTTATATAGTCATACTACCTCATGACTCGGGGTGGCATAGGGCAACTCATTTGTTTGTACAAGGAAGTGCCCAATCACCTTCTTACCAAAGCCGAGATTCTAACTCCAAATTCTTGCACGTTTCCAAGCCCGTGTAGTACTATCATCCTCTATGTACAATTCTCTCCCAAGAGCGATCCTTGCTCGGCGAAGGCATTTAATACGGAGCACTAGTCAAAACATTCCATCTAAATAATTTTTGCTCGGCATCGAAGCCCTTTCCCATAACCCAATCCTGTCCGGCATATGAAGTTTACATACCCATCGTTCGATCCATCCCATCCAAAATTGGAAACCTACACAGCCATGACCATTCCTCCCTCCCTCTTCCGTCCTCTTCGCTTCCACACCAAGCCCTTCGCCCATCAAAACAAATTAGAAAATACAGCGAAAGGCGCTTGCTTGGTTTGCATCTCGACCGAGTAGAACAAAAGAAAACCAAGACAATGCCCCAATTTACCAGTAGCGAATCGGCTGTTATCCCGTCCCAGAAAAGATTACACCATGCCTGGAGCCCAAAAGAGGGGTTTTTCTCCAACACCAAGAAACATAAAAAAGAAGAGGCGGATGAACATGAGACGAGCCACGCAGGCGAGACGGAACCAGCCGCAGCCGCGCAGATAGAGGCTGGAAATCCAAGACACATCGTCGACGGGAAGCATTAGGGTCGCAAAGGGGGCATTGCGTATGAAGACGGGACGCGGAAACATAACAGATTGCGGGGGCAAAGAGGAAACCGAAGAGACTATAACACGAGACGTGCACGACGTGCGTGCGATGCAAGACCATGGCCGTACCGGGTAGGGTGCGTGGTAGACACCGTGTGGGAGGAAGTGAATATCGAGGAGCTGGTCGCCGCGGACAGCAAGGCACCAATGCCTATTGCGTATATGGACTGGCGGCGCAAAGATAGGCAGAGAGCGCCACCGCGCCCGCCGAAGAACCTAGAAGTTCTCCTCTTTCATCATAGGGGGGAGGGGGGGGGATACAGCAACCCAACAGAAACTACAACACTCCAACACGGACAACAACGCAGGTATCACCCGACGCTCGCCACCTTGGCCCGACCCTCAAAACCGCGCCGCTGATTACAACCGGCGTCGTCGATTACAACTTCCTCGCCCACGAACCCAAACCGCCTCGCCTGCAAACCCACCCATCACCACCGCCACTCCACTCGCATCACCGTCTCAACCCCGCCTTCCCCGCCAACGGCGACCCCCCATACCCCGTCCCCGTCGCCGTCCCCATCCCCTGCACCGCGCCCCCAGCCCCAGCACCACCCCCTCCACCCCTCATCGGATCCCTCACCCTGCCTCCCCTGACCGCCGGCGTCTGCCCCGTGCAGAACACGCACACGTACACGGGCGGCAGCGCGCGCGCGCTCAGCCCCACGCACCGCACGTGCAACCACTTGGCGCAGCTCTCGCACTGGATCATGAGCTGCTGCTGCTGCTGCTGCTGCTGCTGCAGCTGCAGTTTGGCCACCGAGCCGACGCCCTCGCAGACGCAGCGCGTGGTGCCCGCGCCAACGCCGCCGGCCGCCGCCGCCGCCGCCGCCGCCGCCGCCGAGGACGCCGAGCACAGCGAGCCGCTACGGTCCGTGGTCGGCGTCGAGGCGACTTGGTCGGCGGGGTCGCTCAGGGCCGTGGGCGAGACGGTGAGCGGGCCCGGGGGCGCGGGCGCCGACGCGAACACGCCGCCCTGCCTGCGCAGCCGGCCCTCCATGACCTTCTTGAGCGCGCCCTGCGCGTCCGACGGCGACGCGCGCTGCGCGTCGGCGCCCGCGTTCCCGCCGGCGCAACCAGCAGCAGCAGCAGCAGCACCGCCGCCAGCAGCAGCACCGCCGCCAGCGCCCGCGCCCGCGCCCCCCGTCGCGCCGCCCCCGGGCCCCGCGTCCGCGAAGCTCACCCCGCCGAAGGCGCCCAAGCTGAAGCGCCGCACCTCCTTGCCCGGCGCGGGCGCGGCCTTGCGGAGGAAGCCCGGCGGCTGCGGCTGCGGCTGCGGCTCGGCCATGGCGGCCGGGCCGGCGCCGCGCGCCGAGCCCGCCGGGCCCGAGCCCGACGCCGTCGACGCGCCGCCGCCGAGCGAGATGGCGGACGCGGGGCGGGGCCTGCGGAGCGAGGCCTGGGACGCCAGCGCTGCGCTGAGGCCGGTGCTGGCGCTGGCGCTGGCGCTGGCGCTGGTCCCGGCGGCCGCGCCGTTGGGGTCCGAGTTCAGGCTGCCCATGCGGGCGTGCTTGGTCGCGCGGCGCTGCTGTTCGTCGTCGTTGGCGCCAGCGCCGCCGCCGCCGCCAGCGCCGCCGCCGGTGCCGCCGCCGACGCTATACCAGCTGCCGCGCTGGCTGCCGCGCTGGCTGCCCGACCCGCGCCGCGGCACGAAGTCGTCCTCGGAGCTATCGTCCACGTCCCACAGGCCGCCCGACAGGCGCTTGTTCTGGCCCGGCTGCCCCTGCTGGCCCTGCCCTTGCTGCTGCGTTTGGGCCCCCCCGCTCGCAGGCTCGTCGGCGGGATCCGTCTCCGTGTGCGCCCGCCCCGTCTCGTCTATGACGAGGCGCGTGCGCGGCTTCGGCCTGCCGCCGCCGCCGCCGCCGCCGCCGCCAGCGTTTGTCTCCGGGATCGCGCTCAGACCGCCGGCGCCCGCCGGCGGCGCGGCGAAGCTGCCGCTGGCGCGCTTGAGCGGCGAGGTGCGGCGGGGGATGCCGGCGGCGGCGGTGGTAGCAGTGGTGATGGTAGCCGCGGCGGTGGAAGCGAGGGGCGGCGCCGGCAGGTTGGAGGAGGTGTGCGAGGGATGGGATGTGCTGCCTGGTCTGGAACTGGGAGGCCCGTTGTTGGCCGTCGGGCGGAAGCCGCTGTCGGTTTTGCTCCGGGACAAGCCGGGGCGCTGGCCGAGGGGAGGGGGTGGGTAAGCGGCGGAGGCGGGCAGAGGCTTGGCGCGGGGAACTTGTTGCTGTCGCTGCTGCTGCTGTTGCTGCTGAATCTGTTGCTGTTGCCATTGCTGCTGTTCTCTTGCTCGACGGGCCATTTCCTCCTTCTCACGGTTTGACTCCCGCGTCTGGTGCTCGTAGGGCTGGCGGTTCATGTAATCCGGCGCCATCGAAGGTGGGCGGGCGGAGAAGCTACCGGTGGACGAGTGGTCGGTAGGGTCGGAGAAGCTGAACAGCATGCTCGGGTCGACCCCCGTCGTGCTGGACAGGAAGGAGGAATTGGGCTGCGCGAACGACGGAGGGCTCTGCAATCCGCCGGGCCCAGGCGACGCCCACACGGACGCCGGCGGGTGCGTTGCTCGTGGGGTGTCCGCCTGGAAGGACTGGTTCGGGAACTGGTGCCCGGCGGGACCTCCGAAGCTCGGCCACCCGGCGTGCTGGGTCGACCCGAACGAGTCGTCCGCAGACGGCATGTCGATATCCATGGCGTGAACGTTCCCGCCGGACTGGTCCCAGAAGCTGCGGCCAGCCTGCGGGAACGCGGGGGCGCTAAGCGGCCCGACGTTCTGGAACTGGGCCATGTCGGGCGAGAAAGGGAACTGAAAGGGCGTTTGGTTGAAGAATCCGGGCGTCACGCTCCCATTGGGGCCGGCTGGCGTTGCCAGCTGCTTCGAGTGCACCGTGGAAGGAGTGTCCAGCGGCATCCCCGGAGCGACGGTTGGCTGCGCCATTCGTCTCGTAGACGAGTCCCTGGTTGGGGGAGGGGTTTGGATCTGCGAGGGATCCATGGTCGTCGCCGCGGTCAAGGCCCCCGACGCCGTGGTTACCGCCGCGGACACCGCGCCTTCCTTTGAAACCCCACGCTCGAGAATGCCTATGTGTTCCGGTGCCCTTTTGTTCGATGCTAGAGGCCCCGGCGACGACGATAGTCTCCGGGATGGCTCTACCGGCGGGAGCGGCAGGTGGGGGTTCGGGTTGAAGTGGTTGACATGAAATTCGGGGTCTTCGGGTTTGGGCCCGGAGCGGCGGAAGGACGAGGAGGGCGGCTGCGGCTCTGTCGGACTAAAATGGCTCTGGACGGGAGTCTGCTGCGGTGTCGTGTGCCCATTGACCTGGGGTGTAGAGAAGGCGTCTAGGAAGTGCGTGGGGTACGGCGGTTCTGCGGTGGCCGACTTCGGAGTTTGCAGCGAAGGGTTATTGAAGCTTGCCGACTTGGGCGTCTCGGACGGACTTGGTATCTGCCAGTCTCGGTAGCTTTTGAGAGCAAGCAAGCGAGGTGCGTGTTAGTCGGCACTGTATCAGACAGGCTGAAGAGAGGTTGCGGAGAGAGCATCTGCGGGGGGCCAAAGGAAAAAAAAAAAAAAAAATTCCTGGGCGAACTTTGAAAACATGGGGAATTTCTCTGCATCAAAAGGTTCTATGCTTCGAGAACAATGCACTCCGGCGACAAGACGACTGACGGCGCACTGGGGTTCGGATCTGAGGTTGAGCCTGGAGCTTAGAGCCGTAGGTCTGACCGCTTTGAAAGGGCTCAGACCAAGCGAGAGCGAATGAGGGCCGAATTCACATGCGAACCGTGTGGCACGGGATAGCGAGAAGAGGGACGAAGGGGCCAAACCAAGGGACGCAAGCTGGCAATAAGAGCACCTACCCATATATGTGTCGGTCAAGGTTCATAGCAAAATTCCGTCACTGGCCGCACGATTATGGTGGTGGCCCACACCCCTCGTTTGAGCAGGTCTGCCGCGACTACGTGAGTGAGAGTCGGAAGGGCAAACGGCAGGATGCACAGGCGTAACGGCCGGCAGATGCGGCTGCAGTGAGCTCGAAGCGCTTGTGGGCAATCCAACACTCAGGAGCGGGTGGAGGCAGAGCAGCAGCAGCGATGGCGGCGGTGCGGCAACGGGGGAAAAGTGTGCTCTCGGAAGGGGCGTGCGGCGGGTGTGGAGAGGGGCCCTCGGTGGAGCATGGGGGAGGGGGGTTTGG